TAAGACTTGAGTTTTTTAGTGATATTGACTTAAGCATCGAAGGCACTTCACCAGAAACCCCTCCGGCGTGAGAGTTTTTGCAGGTATCCGGTGTTCTACAAGCGAGTAGGAAGAAGGCGAACCGATTTTCAGCGGGTCGAAGTGGTCGATATTACCAATATAACATTTAACATAACTAATATATTGTACCAAAAAAAAAAAACATAACTAATATACGAACAAACAAGTCATACTTGAAATTAAGGGTTGTTCTTATATTTGACAGAAAATTCGAAGCTAAGTAAAAAAATGCCTTGGAAATAAATTTCCATGATGAAGAGGTAAATAATTTTTTTTGTCTTTTTTTATTTATTATTATCGAATCCATATACTAAAATTATTTAAATTAGTCTATGACGACGATACCTCGCCATCAAATAAAACCAAAATAACTTATGAAAAATTTCTTCGACCCTTTTACATTTTTTACATACATACCAAGTCCATTAGATTTAATATCCAATATTAAAAATAAAAGGCAAAATTGCATATAAAAGCACCACCTTTTATGTTTTTGCAATTTAATCACCACCTTTGTAATTTAGCAATTTAATACACAACTTTACTTATTTCTTGCAATTCGAATCACAGGGCCCAATTTCGGGCCTGTTCTGGTGACGTGGCATTTTGTGGTGACGTGGCGTTTCCACGTATCAATGACGGGGCATCTTTGGGCTGACGTGGCAGTCTATGTCAATTAAGAAAAAAAATATATATATTTTGTAGAAAGAGGGGTTTGAACCCTGGTCTCCATGGGAGAAAAGTAACTATGCTACCAACTCACCTATCCATGTTAGTTAACATATTCACTAACAATTTATATATATAGGAATTACGTATGAATAAATTATATTAAAATATAAATTAATTATAATAAATTAATTAAATATAAAATTATAATAAATTAAATGAAATTAAATGAAAATAAAATAAATGAAGATAATTAAAATATATAATTTTATTAATTCATATTTTGTGTTAGAGTAAACCATATTAATAATATTTAATAAATAAGATTTTCATTATTTATTATTTAATAATCAGTTATTTTGTTTATTATTTTATTTTATTTTATTTGAATTCACCTTTTTTATACTTTATCATCTTATGTTATATTATTTTTATTATATTTTAATAAATATAACTTATTATGAAATAATAAATAAAAATAAATAAAAATCTTAAATAAATATAATAAATTAAAAATATAATTTAAGTAAATAAAATGTTAAATAATCGTAATGAATAATAAAACAAAAAGTGTTATTTTATATAAAATAATAAAATATTAAAAAACTTAAATGAAATAATAATTTATTATATAATAATAAGTTATTATATTTATTATAAATTTATTTTAAATACATAAATAAAAATATTAAATGAATATAATATTATTAATATGATTCACTCTAACACAAAAGATGAATTCGAAAAAATATATTTTAATTATCTTAATATATTATTTTTAATTCAATTTTATATAATTTTATTTAATATAATTAAATTATTTTTTTAGATTTAATCTGATTTCTCCATACGTAAT